CACAAAATAATGAAACAGCAATTCAACAATATAAACCTGTTCAAGTTTCTAATTTTATCGAAGATGACTATGTAACTGAAGAAAAGACTGAAGAAGTTATTAAAACAAGTCAAGCTTTATCACTTCAACAAAATAAAAGAAAAATTGAACTTCAGGATAATCAAGAAAATAAAAAATATAAAGAATTTGAAGAAAAAATAGTTAATTTGATAGATAATATTGAATCGATTAAAGAAACTCAAGTCAATATTACTAAAGATGCTATTTCAATTTCTGGCAAATGTAAAATTTTCTTCAAATAATTTATTTTTATTTTATTTTTTTTTGTAAATTTTATTTTAAATAAGATAAAATAATTTTTAATAAATATTCGAAATTTAAACACATATAACCAAAGTATTCGTTATTAATTCCAAAATATTCGAAGTTTAACCGATAAAACGATTGGTCAATTCCAAAATATTCGAAGTTTAACCGATAAAACGATTGGTCAATTCCAAAATATTCGAAGTTTAACCGATAAAATGATTGGTCAATTCCAAAATATTGTAAGTTTAACCGATAAAACGATTGGTCAATTCCAAAATATTCGAAGTTTAACCAATAAAACGATTGGTCAATTCCAAAATATTCAAAGTTTAACCGATAAAACGATTGGTCAATTCCAAAATATTCGAAGTTTAACCGATAAAACGATTGGTCAATTCCAAAATATTCGAAGTTTAACTGATAAAACGATTGGTCAATTCCAAAATATTCGAAGTTTAACCGATAAAATGATTGGTCAATTCCAAAGTATTCGAATTTTCTGAAAGTAATATTTGAAACAGAGAATCTGATTTAAAAATATAATTTAACCAAATCTGTAAAAAATCTGATTTGGAAATCCATTTATCCAAATCCGTAAAATTCTGATTTGGAATAATAGTAATTAATAATTACCAAATCCATAAAATTCTGATTTGGAATTAATATCGTAGAGAGTAAAAATTAAAAAAAAAAATAAAATATAAATATTTTAGAAAGAACAATTTGAAAAAAGAAAGAACTCAAACGAAAAACAATATGTTCTTGCCACCTGAAATATTGTTTGAAACTTTTCG